ATTTCATCAGATTTTAATTCCTTCAGGAAGCAAATCATCTGTTGCCCGTCGGAAAGAGATTCTTGTGTTCTATTTATTTAGAGCAGTTTACTCCTCTAAGGTGGACACAATGAGTTTTCCGGTATGTATGGATGCATGTTACACAGACTCACGACGAAACAGGTAGGAAGACCGCTTTGCGGCCTTTATCAATTGTTGTATCCGTGATATCTGTGTTTGTGAGTAAAAGTTGCACTCTGGGCTGCTCTCTTTCTGAGGAAGGAGAGATGTTCGTTCAACCCCCGCTGTTCCAGTTCTGCGGTTGCCGAGGCGCTGCACGAGCTGGACGCTTGGGGTGACGGCGATGAGCCCGAGTGTACAGAGAGTGAGAGAACAGAATTAATCCCCTTCTATCTGGCTCTCTTCCCCAGACCGTGTGCGTTCATCAGAAGTTTGCCTCTCTATCAGCTGTTCCGCCGCTTGTTGCGTTCGGACTGATTTTGGCCATTCTTCGTGCCTTAGCTTTGGAGATCGAGAGGATAGCCCTAAAGCCATTGGTGCAGGGACTATATTGACATCCAAGTCCCCACTCTGTGGTTGGTGCTGGCATGCCTCATTTTAGTATCCGTTCCTGTTTCAGAGGTTTTTCCCTCAAACTCAGGTGTCTCGGGACCTCATGAGGGAGGCCGTATGGTTACACCATTTGCCTCTCTATCAGCTGTTCCACCGCTTGTTGCGTTTCGGACTGATTTTGACCGTTCTTCGCGCCTTAGCTTTGGAGATCGAGAGGATAGCCCTAAAGCCATTGGTGCAGGGTCTATGTTGACATCCAAGTCCCCACTCTGTGGTTGGTGCTGGCATGCCTGATTTTAGTATCCGTTCCTGTTTCAGAGGTTTTTCCCGCAACTCAGGTGTCTCGGGGCCTCATGAGGGAGGATCAGGCTGTCTTATGGTTACACCATCCAGCTTCTATGGGTTGATTGGATTTGCGTCACCTAACCTTGTGCTTGGAGTAAGCAATTTCAAGATGCTGACGCAGAAGTTCATCCTGTCTCTATCTGAATTGATTGATTGGTTTGTGACCATCGATCTAAGGATGCGTACTTCTGCATCCAGATCGTCAAGAGACACAGGAAGTTCCTCAGGTTTGCTTTTGAAATAAAGCTTGCCAATACTGTATTCTTTCATTACCTTGAAGATTTGCTGATATTAGCTCAATCACACAAACTGTTTGGAGCATTGTTTTCTGGCACTCCTCTCGAAAAAAGATTCGTTCATTTTGCTGAACGAGACTCAAAGGTCCGAGTCGGTAAAATGATCCGAACTTCCCATCACTAATGTCTGTGTTTTGTTGGTAATAGGAGCTCAAGTGCTCGTCAATCTTTAGCTCCACCCACGGCGCGCCTCCAGGACCTCGGCTGTTTTCGGAGAGAATCATAAAGCTGTATCTTTCTTTTATAAATATGATAAAACTAAAGACTTTTTGGAGATATGAAGGATGCAGTACTACTCTATAAGTACTCAAGATTAACATGAGATAGGGTGAAACTGTGTTATGTCCCCTTTAAATATTTTCATTACTACAGGAGCTGCCAGTTTGCTAAGTTTTCTAATGATTATTAAACTGCAATCACAAACTATGCAAAAGTGGCAGCCCTCCTTGCACACTCAGTGTCTGAATTCACTCCCTCCTGTAACTGAACTATATTAGTAGTGGATTAATGTAGGGAATAGTGAATGAGGGTATAGGGGGAGATTCTGAACACAACACTTGATTACTTTTGTTCAGTTGTGTTTAATAAGGGTTGGAGCGACACTCTACAGGACAGTGGCCCTCCAGGAACAGGTCTGGACACCCCTGACCTACAGTAATATATGTTACTAGACTGAGGAAACTGCTACAGTATATGAGCTTAGACTTTTATTTGCATTAAAATAGGTAAATAAATTTAAGGGATTCTTATATTTTGAGGGAAACTGACTGATCAAAGCACTGTACGACTAGTTGTTCTGTAGTGGTTTTACAGCAGAGAGGTGTTCTGAGCCTGTGTTTTTCCAATGACTGCACATAGGGGGCACCAGTTCATTAGTTGACATGTTTTGCAGAATAATATTGTTAGTGGACATGTTCTAAGGGTTAAATAATCAATTAAGCATCAAAAAGCATGCAAAGTGTGTCCAACAGCCACTACAGGCTTAACTATCTGGAACAGCTCATTACTGGATGAGCTGCTGTACAACATTTAAATGTTGCCTGTATTTCTAGACTACATACTACATATAAATATAATTTTGTGAGTATGATGTTATTAAAGCAATGACTGGATATCTATAAGGTTGATCAAATAACACTGGACCTGTTTTTTTTTTTTTTTTCATTCTGAGCTTACTGAAATACAGAAAATAAAAGATCAAAAACTACTGAAAATTAGAGTTCGCAAGAATTAAAGAATTAAATTACCAGTTGATTATTAGGAGACACCAGACCAAGATTCACAGAGGCTCCAAACATGAACATAAGAACAATAGATAAGCCACATCACATGCTATACGTCTTGGGTCAGAAGGCCTGAATGGAAAAATGACAACAGCCAATCACATGTCATCTAAATCAGAAAGGCAAGTCTTGACTCCTCTAAACCCAGGCGTTTCACACCCACATGTCTTACAAACACTCCATAAGATGTTGCCAAATGCACAGAGGACCTCAACTATGTTTAAAGTACTTCTGATATTTTTTCTACCCTCAAGGACAGGTGTGTTTGTTGTGGAAGAGAGATTAGTTCTGCAAAGTTAATTCTCACCTTACAATATTTAAGAAAATGTTATTCTGATCTGTTCTGATGATACTGTTTGTACTTTTTCCTTCTCAGGCTTCATCGCATCTGCTGCTGTATTTCAAAAGAAAGTCCTGGAGACCTTCACTGCAGGCGAAACTATAACTTTAGAGTGCTTGATATCTCAAAGCTATGAAAACTATTTCTCTTGGTTCAGGCAATCTCTGGGAGAAGCTCCAATATGCATCCTCAGTCTCTATGCTGAAACTTCAACACCAACATTTTATGGAGACTTCAAGAATGACAAGAGATTTACAGTTCTAAAGCAAGGAAGTCTTTTTGCTCTAACCATAAAAGATGCAAAGCCATCGGATACTGGAATCTATTACTGTGGTGCCCGTGACTATGATCTTATAACTTTTAGTAGTGGGCTGTTTTTAAACTACAAAGGTAAGCAGACCTATAGCAAAAAGCAGTCAAATTGCTTGTCCTGAAGAAAAAATCTCTGAACATCTAAATAATGCAATAGTTTTGTCATTTCAGGGGTGAATACAAGACAACATCATATTAAGCAGTTTTTGTCTGCAATGGACTCGGGTACTCTGGTAAATGAGCATGAGTTTAACCCAGGAGACTCTGTGAATCTTCACTGTTCAGTTCTCACTGAGAAATGTGTAGGACATCACAGCATCTACTGGTTTAGACATGAATCGGGAGATACACATCCAGGAATCATTTACAAGCATGGAAACATAAATGATCAATGTGAGAAGAGCTCTGAGAAAGATTCACATGTACAGTCCTGTATCTACAATCTCCCCAAGAAGAACCTCAGTTTAACTGGTGCTGGGACTTACTACTGTGCTGTGGCCATGTGTGGAGCGATTCTGTTTGGAAATGGAAGTAGGCTTGAAATTGGAGGTGAGAAAAATGCATTTGATAGATCAAATCACATTTGAATTGCAGTTTAAATATTTAGACTTTTTTTTATCTTAGAACCAATTTCTGAGTTCGTCTGGACTGACTTAAAGGTCCCAGTTTTGGTAGCAACAAATATCTTGTGGTTGGTGATCATCGCTATCCTTCTATGTAAGAGAGTACAAAAACGACAAAAAGCATTTTCTGGTAAGCCATTTTCATATCAAGAATATTCACTGATGATCATATTGTATGATAATCTTGATTATTAGAGCATTATTGACAGTGATTTTGATGAAGATGAAATTAAATCCACTTTAATTTAAAAATTGTTCTATTGTAAAATATGATGAATTCTGATTTTATCATTGAGATATGACTGAGAGAAGTTCGATTATTTTGGAGCACACACTGCAAAATATACATGGACATATTACCATATCAAAAAGTGTAAATATTAAGATTTTATATTAAAATGTATCTTACAAAACTCACTGATTACTGCAACTGAAAAGGTTCATATTCTTTACAGACACCCAGCCATTGCAAACAACACTTTCTTCATCTCCTGCTAATGAGGTAAAATTTAAATAAACTATATTTCTATATTCATTATATTTTATGTTTTATTTATGTATGGAGTACTTCGCTGTTGGTTTTAGGGTGTAGCGGAGGAGTTGAGCTATGCAGCAGTACATTTCTCTGGAAGAAACTCAAGCAGACACGAGACTGAAAGAAGCTCATACTCACATGTTGTATATTCCACTGCTAGATGCTCTAGTATTAAATAACAATTCTGTGATATAACATGATAAAGTAATACTGTCCTATATGTGTGTAGTTATATTTGATGTGTCCGAGTGTTGTTATGAGCGATAATAAAAAGAATGCCATTGTTTCACCAAAACTTTTGTATTTTTTAGTATTTATAGTCATTTAAACAGTAAAACATAAGGTAAAAGACATTTAAATCCATTTGTGGAAAAAACATTTTATGAAAAAGGCCTTTTAAGTTGCTAACAGCCTTATTCTTTCTATAATACTTGTATGCCTGGGGACCAGGCACGTGCACACATAGACATAAAAGGGGGCTTGAGCACCTGCCCTTTTTCTTCCTCGAGAGAAAGTGCCCTTTTTTATGGGGAGTGTTTTTTTTTTAAATAAATGAATATATGTATGTGCATGTGTGTGTGTTTCTGTTTGCGCACAGCTTTCCCTGTCAAACAAATAAAAAATCTAAATATCAGGTCGGGTCGGGAAATGTTGAGACTTTCTCCCCTCCGCGCAGGCGCAGCACAGCAGTGTAGAACACATTGATTGGCACATGCACATCACTGACAGGCAGAGAGCCGCAGAAGTGAAGCCCTCCCTCCCTTTCCAGTTGTGTTTGTCTTGGTGTGGAGGTGAGTGGTGAATAATGTGATGAACAACAGACTAAGCTACCTGTGCCTCGAATTTACAGCTAATAAGACAAAAGACAAATATGATTAATTTGTCTTGCTAACATCCATGACTCGAGAGCTACCATGTAAGTTAGCTATAGTTTAGCCAAGGCAAGGCCTAGGAAGTCTAGTAGTTTAGACCAGTGCTCATTCTTTCACTGCATGATTCAGTTTATTAAAAAATGCATTTGGAATGATCACAAAATTCAAGATATGGGGGCAGAAATGTATATATTTATATCATTTCATATAGTTAATCAGTATCACGCGAAGACTGACTTTTTTTTTCCACCTAAAAGCAGCATGATTACAAATGTGATATTGATTTTTATACAGCAGTTCAATAAACAAGAATTTAATATTACGACACTTACTTTTAGACATAAAATTTACTGTTTTTGCTCTATTTCGCTAACAAATATAATTCCAGTTTGCGTCTCTGGGCCATATGAGCAACATGACGCTGTTTTGTTCCTGAATGAATCAACCGTTTAAATGATTCGGTTCAATCGCAATGACTCACTTATTAACAGTGACTTGCTGCCACCTACTGGCAGTTTTAATTTCACATTTAAAGTATCTTTTCATTTTTTTTTTTTTTTAGAATTTCAAATATCAGTAGGCCTGTTAAACGTTTTATGTTTAAAATATCAAAACATAATTTATGCATTTGTAACGGCAGGTTAAATGCATTCATGTCCTGCATTAAACAGTGTGTAAATGCATCTAAATGCCCCTTCTAATGCAGCTTCTGTGTTTTCTCTGCATTGCAAAGATGAATTTTGTCAATACTGATTTCATTTGCTTGTTAACAGCCCAAATGACATATTATTCTAATTGACTGATTCAATTTAATAATTTGACTGAAAAGACGATGCGCACTTTTAGAAAAAAGGGCTTTATAAAGGTAAAAATGCCCATATATCATCTAATTATCATTATCAATAAAATCCCAGAAAATATTGAGATATATTTTTGACTATCGCACACCCCTAACATATCTAACATTTTGTTTAGAAAAAAATGTAAATAATTATGAGAAGTACCCTATTTTTCAACTGGAGCCCCTGCCCCTCAAAATGTCTGTGCACGTCCCTGCTGGGGACAACATACAACAGGAGCTAAACATCTTCAGTGCTCATACCCCTAATAAAAAGAAATCTGCCCTTTTTGCTCATTGGCACATGTTACACTTCCAGGCTTTTTGAGCCAATCACCTGAACCTATATATGCACATAAAACAATAATAATAATAATAATAATACATGTCAAATGTAAGCAGTTTAAGCGAACCTTTAAATTAAATTAAGGTTTATAACACAAATAACCCTTTCTGAGCCAGCTGAAGCAGAGTTTAACTGGAGTGTACAGTTTGGCTATTTAACTCCCCCAGCTGTTGAGAATCGAAATTGCAAAGGTGAAGCAGTTTGTCTCAAAATGCAGTTCAAGAACTGAAATGTTTTCAATCCATCCTCATGTATACTAAATTTCAAGTTTGTACTAGAGGTCCTGAGATCAAGTGAGCATGAGACAACCTTTGGTGAACTTACAAAGCTGGTGTTACTGACAATTGGTGCCAGTTAAGGAATTTTTTGAGGAGGCTGATATAAAAATGAATATTGATAAAACCAATAAATGATAGCATAACTTTATATAAGCTTGCATATATGGATATTATCCTATTGATAATTAGTGACGCGTTATAATCTCTCTTATCACCAACTCAACAATACAGTAAATAAGCAGAACAAATCACACAATATACGGATTATGACCATTATAAACATTTGTATGTGAAAGCATTTTTGAAATGTTTGTTTTGATGTCAAATAAACCTTGCTGTTTTGCTTTTTTGTTAAAGCAGTGTTGCTGTTGTAAAGTTATACAGCTACAGTTGTAAGCAGGTTTGATGTTTTTTTTTTTTTTCAGGTTGTATTTACAGCACTTGGTTCAAATGTGGATGAATGGCTACACGTAGATGTGTGCTCATACTGCCAGCTCTTTATTCCAAAGATATACTACAAGTCAGTGTATTCAGTGTATATTGTAAGTTGCTTCAGAGGCATAAGGTATTACAAGTATTACATACAGTACAACAATGATAAAACAGTGCATTGGAAATTTACTTTTGGTACTTAAGTACATTTAAAAGCATGTACTTCTGTACTTTTACTTAAGTAAAAATCTGTCTTTGCAAATTTCACTTGTAATAGAGTAATATTTGACAAGCAGTATCTGTACTTTTACTCAAGTAATGGAGTTGTGTACTTTGTCCACCCCAAGAAAGAAAAATAACTAGGCTATTATAACTAGCTATTTTTAGCTTCATTGTTAAATTCGTTTTGATCTACATTTTTGAGGAAACACAACCTGACTGAGACTATAGATTTTGTAGTAAGGCCAGTAAAATAAAATTATAAATTACACAGCAACCTGAATTAATGCATGCTCCTATAAAAGATGCACTTTGCTTTGTTATTTTTGAAACTATTGTTTATGTTTATTGTGCCTTGCTTTGGCACTTTATATATGCTACAAATAACTAATAAAATGTAGGCTTAGTATCTTAGCTGAGCCTTTTACCTGTTGGAACTTAGTGATTTGTCTAATTAAAAAATAATGACCTTTATACAGGTACAACAAAGCTTTCTTTACCAAAACCAGCGCAAAAAATGACACTTTAGACCACATGACAGGAAGATGTGGCTAAAGCGGTCAGGTTGTATAATGTGCACAAAGCCTCCACCCCAAAACTCAATAACCCTTTCAAAATTGATCTTTTGTCCTGCAGAAAGGCCTGGGGCATGTGTAGTCTTCTACAGATCAGTTAATTAAGATGACTAAATTATCATCTTACATGCAATTGCAATTACATGCAATATAATTAACCTGAGTGAAGTAAAGATTTTTCTTTAATCCTTTGACAAATTGAAAACATTTGACACAAACATTTCATAAAAACACTCAGGCAAAGTTTCTCAGTGTGTACTGTACCTAGTCTAAGCCGGACTGAGATGCTAAAAATTATTGTGCAGGTAGTTTAATTTGTTTTTTTTTTTTAATGTTTAGGTGCATTTGCTGTGGGCACTTTACTGCATGTGTCTCAACCAGAGTCAGCAGTGAGAGTTCAGCCTGGACACTCCACAACTCTTCACTGCTTCACCCCAGACGATGGACACTAACTATTACTGGTATTTAACCTTTTCAATTACAAATTTGTAAGATTCTGTATCGACCCACCCTACCATATCATATATGATATGGAAATGTCTAAGGCCTCTAAAATCAAAACTTTAATCTGCCATCTGATAGTTTTTTTTTTTTTTTTTTTTTTAGCAAATGGAACAAGATTGATGTTTGAAGAGTCTTTCAGATTAATCACCCATTGGCCCAATGACAGAATCCAATGGCATGGGCGAAAGTATTCTGCATGAAAGTCTTTTTGGCACATTGTCTTTTTGGCAAATAAGTTCACATTGTCAGTTTTTAGGATTGACAACCATATTTACTTGCAGGTGTTAGTCTCGAAATGTCCTGTTTAAACAGCAACTTAACAGTAGAATCTCGAATACTGTCTATATAAACATGCAACTGGAGTCAACAGTCAGACGAAGAGAACGAAATCATTACTTCCCGATAAACTGGTGACAAATAACACTAAGAAAAAGATCATTTGCTGCAGTAAAAAAAAGCCACTGTGGCTTTTTCTTTCATATATACAGTATATATATATATATATATATAAATCTATTTCATATATTTAATTTTTTCATATATAATAAATTTCTTGCACCTTTGAATGTACAGACCTAATGAAACACGGTCATGTTATCTTGCTTTCAGCGGCTTTCAACGTTTCAGATCCTGTGCATCAAGAACGGCCTGCTGGTTAGTCCAGTTACATGCAGTTAGTCTATTAGCGACAAGCACTAACTGGCTGTTGTCACACTTATTTCTGCTGTTAGATTAATCCATCAAGTGAAAATGTCCAAAGCTTATCATCAATATCGACATAAATTTTATCACGACTTAATATATCGTTTTATCGCTCAGACCTACACAGAACACACATCTCAACATACAAACTTAAGTGCATTGGTTACATTAAACATAACAATGTCTATCCTGTCATCCCAGTTTGTCCTGTAATAGCTCACACATTCTACATTTAAAATTTCTACTCACCTCAAACCATAATTTTTTATCTCGTTAACAGCAAAAAACACAACAACAACAACTTTTAACTCACATGAAAAGACAGAAATCATTGGCTCAAATTACTCAAACCTGGAGAAAATAACCGCATTTGCACATACTGTAAGACTGATTCCTTCACACAAACCTGGCCCCCTTTTGTCAGCTAAACAGGAGAACTGATTCCTCTTCATAAATCATGGTAAACATGTTGTGTCCCTTTATATAACTTATGCAGTTTATATCCTATGTCAGCTTGTTGATTACTTTTTTTTTTATCATAATTTAACTTCTACTGCCTTTAAATGGTTGTTTATTTTTACTTTTGTTCTTCCCTACCCTTCGCTTTCTTTGTCTCTGCACTGTATCAGTAATTTGTATTTTGTATTGTTATTTTTTCCCTCACTTTTGAATAAAAAAAGTTACATTTATTAGAATTTACTTTGTTTCTATTTCATTTTAGCTCTGCGGTTAATCTTACTCCAATTTCAAATCATTTTATTATTTAGAATGAGAAGTACATAGCTGATGAAGCGAAATCTTGCTGATTTTTGTGCAATATATCAATCAGATTTTTGTGAAGACAGCAGACACCAATTTTTTTTTATAAGTTCTACCATGTAAATGTGAATGTCAAGCAATTATCTGCAATATTTTCAGGTGAGCCTGATATTAAGCTCCTTCTAACAGGCTACATTAAAATATCAATGAAGAACTGAATTAAAGAAGGGTTATTGTAAGAGTTGTGGTTTTCCAGCTTGACCTTCTTGCGTTATAAGTGCTTCTTGATCACATGCATAGAAGATGAAGGGAAATCAACATGTGATCACAAAACCGTGCTGTCATCAAAACTGTGATCTGATTTTTATGAAGACAGGCATCTCTTCATATTGTGTAAAATGCTATGATGGAGACATACAAAATGTGCAGTGGTTAAGGGTCCCCAGGACAGGTTTGAGAAGCACTGTTGTATAAAACGAGGGTGCTGGCAATGATTTTGAAAACCACTAGGGGGCTGTAAGGAGGGATAGTAATCTACTCAAGATATTTTAAAGGGGTCATATGATGTTATTTTAAAGATCATTATTTTGTGACGTGTGCATCTGTAAATGGCTGCTAAGTGCTCAAGCAACCATCCTGTTTGAATTCCCCTTCCGAAATAGATTCATATTTGTCCCTGAGATGAAGTGCATGCAGCAGGAGGTATTAGATGCATTATTTCTTGCATACACTAATTCCCTGATTTACAGGCCGATAGGGAGTGTAATGTGTGCAGGGATGATGGCCTGTTTATGATGCTATGCATGCAATAATGCAAGACTGAATTGTCTCATAAAAGACAAGCATGTGACTCTTCAGTTGATTTATCCCTTCCCTTTAGAGAGAATGCCATCAATGCAATTAGGCCTGGTTTCATTTAGATGAGAAGAAAGGATACCGCCGTTGATGTGCTTAGCATTTTGCTGCACAATTAAAAATTGCTAATAGTAAAAATGCATGATTAACTATTCATTTATTTTTGTGGTAATGCATATTAAGCAAATGTTTTATCAATAGTGAATGAAATGAGAGGAACATACCATGCATGAAATTTTATTGGGCACATACATTTAATAGCTGGGCACTGTACTGCATTTTAATTGCATAAACATTGCTGTTTGTTTCATTGCTGCGCCAGGCCTGTCATAACATTGTTCTCCATAGTGCAACACTATAATATGAACGCAACAATAACCCAGTGCAATCAAATAGCCATTTTCTGATGTAGTTTAGGAGTATACTGGATGTAATTTGATTTATGCTACTGTATATATATATATATATATATATATATATATATATATATATATCATAAAAAGAAACACCTACCTCCCTTTCAAATGTACAATAATAGCCTACTACACATCACATTATGTGAAGTATCTCTATTTCACTGACCATTTATAAATACTGCATGAATAATGTATTCAGTGACACAATTATGTATGCAGAAGTATGTATTCACAAGAACAAATGTACACATTTAGCTGTACTGTAAGATATCACATTTAGTTATACAATAATATGTTTCAATATTATTCATTCAGAAAATAAATATTTTTAAAGCTAAAAACCCATTTCCTGTATCATAACTATCAAATATGTGTCTGACCATAACTGGCCATTTCATTGGTCTATCATAGTTCCTGTGGCAAAAGCCACTCCTCCTTCTTAAATATTTGATATCACACACTTAATTTCCTCTTCAGTTCTGGTTTGACTCAGTGCAAAAATGTTACGCATTTCAGCTGCAGCTTTATTGCTCTTTGGGACGGGTAAGAATTATTTTCTACTGTGAACAATATGGGGAGATATTTATTTTAATTTAATAATTATTTTAATTTAATGATATTGTTTTGTGGTGTGCTATGGTTTTTCTTTTCTTTTCAGGTTTTCTCCAAGTTATGTTTTCGATAGCAATTATACAGGCTCATCCAGGACAAAGTGTCACTATGTGGTGTTCACACAATATTCATGTTTCTGGATATCTGTACTGGTTCAAACAAACAGACGGTGCTGTACCCATTACTATTGTGCACATGTTATACACCGAAAGTCTTCAGAAGGTTGAGCCAAATTATTTCAACAATTTCACAAAAGACCGCATCGTCATGGATCAGTTAAGCAAAAGCACTGCCCTAACAATTAAGCAAGTGAAAATGTCTGATTCTGGTTTCTACTTTTGTGGAGCTACAGGATATCACATGAAATTTGGCAATGGAACAAGGCTTCAAGTGAAAGGTAATCTTTTTTGTACCTCTTTCATTATACTCTCACGTTCATATCATATGTATAGCTCTTTGTTTCACTTTGTCATTAATAGCGCATGTTGGAAAAACACCACACTTGTGACCCTGGAGCAATTTTGTACATTTCCTACCGTAAATATATTAAAACTTCATTTTTGATTAGTAATATGCATTGATAAGGACTTAATTTGGACAACTTTAAAAGCGATTTTCTCAATATTTAGATTTTTTTGCACCCTCAGATTCCAGATTTTCAAATAATTGTACCTTTGCCAAATATTGTCCTATCCTAACAAACCATACATAAATGGAAAGCTTATTTATTCAGCTTTATTCCGATTATGTATAAATCTCAATTTTAAAAAAATGACCCATATGACTGATTTTGTGGTCCAGGGTCACAATTTAAATACCTTTGTAAATGCCACAATGGTAATTGACTTATCCTTGCCAACTGTTTTCATATCAGAGAAAAATTACACAGGAACCTCAAAAAAGGGTATGTTATTTTACCTTTAATATTAAAATTAAAACTGCAGGTGTTTAATATTTATTAATGTTTTTGTTTAATCTGTTGATTCAAATTACTGGGAAAAATAAATATATAAAATGTGTTCTTTCTGGCATCACTTAAAATGTATTTGAATTTTGAAATTATATCCACACTTTACAGATCATGAGCAATCATCCGTGTCTACTGAGGAGTGTTCTAGAGGCATCTATTTCAAACTGACACTCCTATTTGGTGGAATAATTTTTTTTACATGTATTGTTCCTCTTATTTTGGCGATTATCAGGGAACACAGAAGACAGAAGCATAAAAAAGGTAAACTCTTTGCACATAGAAAAATTAAGTTAAATCACAAATGTGGAGTGAATATTAAAAATGGCTTTGAAATGATGGCTTTTTAATTTAATTATCGTAGAGCAACTGATTGTCTTTTTCTCTGCTTTGTAGCAGTCGCTGAATGTCAAGCACAACAGCATGATGACAAGGTAAACTCCACAGACTTACATTACTCTAAAGGCTAAGTAAAATTATTTACAGACAATCCCAGCTTCACCTTATGAAAACAAGCAAAGCTTTTTTTTTTTTATCCCAGATCACACTTTTTTATTATAAAGAACAAAATATTTATTAAGAACAAAATATTTAATTACTTTATGCATTAATTACTGCTCATTAATTATTGCTATATGAGTTTTATTATTATTATTATCTTATGATTCCAACTGAACAATATTATTTCTAATTCTGTTTGCTGTTAAGGATGTGAATAGCATTATTTTTGCTGTAGAATTTATTTTAGAGGGTAAGGAAAAGGAAAACTCCTTAATAAAATTTATGTTGTCGTATGATCACCTGGATTAGGATCCTGACATACATGTTTGTACTTCTTTGCAGGAAAATGATTCAGTAGAATATGCTGCTGTGTATTTCTCAAAAAAGAGACTCAAAACAGCAGGACGACATACTAAGGACCCAATTGCTGTGTACACCAATACTACTTGAAAACATTATTTGTTAATTAACTTTGGTTTATTTTTAACTAACAGCTAAACAGCATCACTGTTTTACTCTTTAAAAATGTAATTATTGAGGTGATCAGAGATCTGTCTTTTCTTTGCACTATTGTAAATAATGGTTAAGATTATTAAATTTGGTTGCAATACTTTGACTCCTACTATTAATTCACTCGGACACCATTACACAAAGCCCTTGAATTTAGGTTGAGATAACAGTTAAACATCGGAGTTTTAGGTTGCATCTCAGTTTGGATGCCGTTTAAAGTGTCATTATACATGGATCTCATGGTTACAAACTCATAAATTGTAGTGTTAACTAATACCATTTAAAGTTTGCTCACTCATGGCTAAATAGCAGTTCTACATAGTCACTTTGTTGCATGTTTTTTCATGAGCCTGGGTTGTCACTTTCATTCACCTTAAGTTGAATGGTTAGGCAGAAAGCTACAGTCCCAACCAGAGGCGGACAGTACTGAAGTATTTTTACTCTACAGTAAAAGTACTTTTCAGGTGTCTGTACTTTATCAGAGTGTTTCTCTTTAGAAAACTTTACTTCACAACATTCCAAAGCATAATATTGTACTTTTTACTGCACTATGTTTCATATTAAATATAATTTAATACTTAATTACATTAGAAATCTATTACTTTCTTACTTTTACTCAAGTAAAAGTAATTCAAAGATTTACTTGAGTACAAGAAAGTACTACATTTTTAATGTTCTTAAGTATTAAAGGTAAAACAAACAACAACTTTTATTTATGAAATGAAGTGCAGTAAAAAGCATGACATTATGCTTTGGAATGTAGTGAAGTAAAGTTTTCCAAAGAAAAACACTCTGATAAACTACAGATACTTTTTAAATTTACTTGAGTAATGTAAAAATACTTCACTACTGTCCGCCTCTGGTCCCAACTGTGTGTCACTTTCTGGGCCTTCAGAGAATTAAAATCAGGATTTTTATCAATTAAGGTAAAATGTATCGTGTCAATAATATAATTCAGAAATGATTAAAAAAAAAAAAAAATTCAAAGACACATTACAGTCAAACATGCTTTTAGTTCTTTGCTGCTTTGGAACATATATTCTCAAAAGTGCTATGGAGAAACTATAGGCAGCCAAAGCAGTAAAGAAAACATCACATTATTATCAATATATCTGATCAACAATGAATCTTCTTATTTTGATCTAGTAGCCATGGACTCGCCTGTTGATTGACAGGTCTGTCATAGTTTGATGTAAGCATAAGCCACACCCCCTCACATAAAAAAAAGCACATTGATTTCCTCATCTTAATTTCCTCGTTGGTTCTAGTCTGATTCAGTACTGCAATGGTACATATAATAATTTCAGCACTGGTGATCTGTGGCACGGGTAAGTATTACGGCACTATAATTACTTCAATCATGCAAGATTAATGAATGATTAATTCAAGAATAATTAGTAAACATTAGGTGTGAAATCGTTTTATGAGCTTTTGGGACTTTTGGGGGAACATTTTTATCAGGATTTTAAATATAAATATTAAAACACTGTTATTCCTCTGTGGGTTTTAGGCTTGCTTACAGCTGTTAAAGCATCTCAGATAGACAATGTATCAGCTCAACCAGGAGAGAATGTCACTATTTGCTGTCAACACAACTCAGAAACTGGAAAAAACATACACTGGTTCAAGCAAACAAAGAGTTCTGTACCTATTGCCATTGTATACATGATGATAAGCTACGAGCTTAAGGAACTGCATACTAATTATTTAAATGGTTTTCAACAAGATCATCTGCTGATGTCTCTGAACACCGAAAACACCTCCCTACAAATTTTAAATGTGGATGTTTCTGATTCTGGTCTGTACTTCTGTGGTTGGAACTCTTGGGTGATGACATTTGGGGATGGAACACAACTAGAAATTAAAGGTAATCTGTCCTTATCAGTAACACTATTGTAAAGGAATGTTTTTGCTCCATGTCAAGTAGCAAAATATAACAAAAAATGAATTACATAGTACACATATATGTGGATAATTTTTAATGTGTTAAATGACTAAATATATTTAAAGTCTTTATTTATTGTGCAGAGAGGAGTGTAACACCACTGCAAAATGAAACAGAAAATACAAATAAAGGTGTTTATCATCTGAGTTTCTTTAACACTCATAACATTCATTTATAATAATGCTTTTATCTGAATGGCGGTTTATTAAAGTAAAATGTAATTTAATTTGAACAGATCTGAACAAGAGGCCGATTTCTACAAGAGACTGTTCTGTAAACATCTTTTATAAGCTGACCTTTATTTTTGGTGGTATTATTTTTATTCTTACCATCATTCTGCTCACCACGCTCATCATTAAGAGACAGAACAGAAACACGCAGGGAAAAGGTAACAGTGTATCTATTCTGTTCAGAAGATTTAGGCTATATACACTGTGAAATGGATATAATTTGGGAAATAATTGTACGTTTATAAAAAGCTAAACCTCTTTTTTTAGTCTCCATTTCTGTCGCCGCAGATGCTGATGGCCATGAAACACAACATCATGAGGTAAACTTATTGTTAAAATAAGAATGTTCATTCTCTGAATGCGGAAAAAGTACATTTGAAACCATAACCAAAAAGTAAAGTTTTTTTTTTTTTTTACTCAGAAGTCCTCTAAGAACTGCAGCATCAATAGTATTGACAAAAATCCTTGAAATTAAAGACCAGGCTGACCGGTCTACAAAAAGATTTAAATATGCAAATCTATGCTATTCAAATGATTAATAATGAGAATAGTTATAAACCATAAATTATTTATATTGAAATATTACTTTTACATCTAACATTCTTAAGGTGAAATGTTTCTTGAGATTGTTTTGCACACGGCCTGCGGGCCTTTTCTCTTTAGCTCTAACCATGTCTTTAAAAAGGGCTGCATAGTTGAAATAATTTCATGTGAATGCAACTCTTGAGCAGAATATCGCTCTATATTAGGGACATTTTATATGGTTAATTGTTAGAAGTAAAAATAAGGCCCAAAAAATAGTAATGGTATAAAGTGAGAGAATGTATTCGGATGCTAATAAGCTTTACATATACACAACATCCTTGTTTCTTGATTGTTTTGTTTATCTGATTTTCTTCTGTACATGTTTTAATTAAATTTGTTTTTAAATGTTGTTAAATACATCTTTCAATCTGTTGCAGGAGCCTCATTCGTCGGTGTATGCCGCTCTACAATTCTCAAAACACAAAATGACTAAATATATTTAAAGTCTTTATTTATTGTGCAGAGAGGAGTGTAACACCACTGCAAAATGAAACAGAAAATACAAATAAAGGTGTTTATCATCTGAGTTTCTTTAACACTCATAACATTCATTTATAATAATGCTTTTATCTGAATGGCGGTTTATTAAAGTAAAATGTAATTTAATTTGAACAGATCTGAACAAGAGGCCGATTTCTACAAGAGACTGTTCTGTAAACATCTTTTATAAGCTGACCTTTATTTTTGGTGGTATTATTTTTATTCTTACCATCATTCTGCTCACCACGCTCATCATTAAGAGACAGAACAGAAACACGCAGGGAAAAGGTAACAGTGTATCTATTCTGTTCAGAAGATTTAGGCTATATACACTGTGAAATGGATATAATTTGGGAAATAATTGTACGTTTATAAAAAGCTAAACCTCTTTTTTTAGTCTCCATTTCTGTCGCCGCAGATGCTGATGGCCATGAAACACAACATCATGAGGTAAACTTATTGTTAAAATAAGAATGTTCATTCTCTGAATGCGGAAAAAGTACATTTGAAACCATAACCAAAAAGTAAAGTTTTTTTTTTTTTTTACTCAGAAGTCCTCTAAGAACTGCAGCATCAATAGTATTGACAAAAATCCTTGAAATTAAAGACCAGGCTGACCGGTCTACAAAAAGATTTAAATATGCAAATCTATGCTATTCAAATGATTAATAATGAGAATAGTTATAAACCATAAATTATTTATATTGAAATATTACTTTTACATCTAACATTCTTAAGGTGAAATGTTTCTTGAGATTGTTTTGCACACGGCCTGCGGGCCTTTTCTCTTTAGCTCTAACCATGTCTTTAAAAAGGGCTGCATAGTTGAAATAATTTCATGTGAATGCAACTCTTGAGCAGAATATCGCTCTATATTAGGGACATTTTATATGGTTAATTGTTAGAAGTAAAAATAAGGCCCAAAAAATAGTAATGGTATAAAGTGAGAGAATGTATTCGGATGCTAATAAGCTTTACATATACACAACATCCTTGTTTCTTGATTGTTTTGTTTATCTGATTTTCTTCTGTACATGTTTTAATTAAATTTGTTTTTAAATGTTGTTAAATACATCTTTCAATCTGTTGCAGGAGCCTCATTCGTCGGTGTATGCCGCTCTACAATTCTCAAAACACAAATCCAGAAGAGCAGCCAGAAATACAGAGGATACAGATGTTGTGTATTCTGCCACTAGATACGGCACACGGTCAAATACTGTAGCCTACTGTAATGTTTAAAAGCCATATGTTCATCAAGACTCTAATATATATATATGCTATTACTAATGCCATACAATTAAAGTGAATGTGAGCTCTGCAATGTTTAGTATTTTCAACGCAATAAAAGTTGTAAAGATCAAATGCATTTGAAGGTTCTAAGACGTTTAATTTATATTTGATATGTTCTCTGTAAGTTAGATATAAGCAGGCCCTTACTCAAGAGGCAGGGGTTGTGAATGATATCACTTCCTATACAGACCCTGACAGGAAGAAGCTGTTCAGTGTAGAATGAGACGTGCTGATGGAAACTTGAGCGGACCAAATTACAAAGCTGTAAATATACACACCAAAACATACACTGTAAAAAAAAATCAAAAGTAGAGAAAACTTAAAAGTTTAAGGCAACCAGATTCAGGAGATTTTTTTAAGAGTTTTCTCAACTTGTTTTTGTAGGAGATTTTTACTTTTTGTTGTATAAACTGAAATGTCCTGAAGCTGGTTGCTTTAAACTTAAGTTTCTCAACTTTAGATTTTTTTACAGTGTAGCTGTACAAATTATTACAAATCTTATTAACTATGCTCACATTTGATTTGACAACAATTTAGTACTTTGTGAGCAGCAGCAGTATAGCCTGATCATTATGAATATTGATAATATTACTCATGACAATTTAAAGAAAATATTAAAATATTGTTTAAATCTGATTAAATGTGAGTGTAAACTGTTTAAATCAGATAAAAGCTTTCTTGGATATCTGCATACCAGTGTGTGCACCTGTTAGCACATGAGAGCATCACAGTTTGACTGTTTCCCACCCACCAGATTGACCCCCAGCTCATCTCTCAACCACACAAACACCATCACACTACATGCCTTTCACACTACTTTCCATAACCACAGACAAAATACCCCTTGTTTTTAAGTGAGGTGTTAAGTCACAGATGACAATAACTTGAATTTGAATTTGAAAAAAACTGAATATTATTATGAGACAGCAATGACAATAACCTTTAAATTAAAAAATATTAATATTTTTAAGAAATTAACTTTTTAATGCTATATTTATATATATATTTTTTATTATTTGTAAATATATAATTCATAGTATAATATATAGTAATACTTTGAACTACTTTGAAAAGTAGCAGGCCAGGCTCATTAATAAAATCAAAAACTTTACTCTTGCTTAATACGATCTGTCACTTATCTTGATCCAGCCTGCAGTCCAAAACATGTTACATGCTCCTGGCCGGCACTGTAGAAAAATGGGAAAAGAGCTGGTAATCTTAGTTTACAGAAATTTTCTTTAACTCTAAAACACAACACAATGCCACATGTAATTCAAAACATGGGAAAACCAGCTTTGGAAAAAAATCAATACTGAAAATTCTATTCTATTCTAAAATTCTATGGGCCCTATTTTTACAGACTTTTCTTAGCGTGAGGAAGAGAAACAATATTTCTCTTAATGCATTTAAGTGTTTATCACTGTGCTCCACTGAAACTTGACACCTTTGCTTCTTTGCAAGTGTCATTATTTAAGTCATATGATGATCTAATATAGTAATGTGTCTTATCTTTAGTAAGATGTTTTGAAGTCTCAGTGTCACTGCAATTTTATCACAATGCACTGTTAAAGTGTGCAACTGCATAATACCACATGTTGGTTCCTTTCACACATTGACTAATGGTTTCGGAAACAGACTTATGCCATAAATACATGTAAGACAATTAATTTGTTGCACAGCGCTCAGGTTGTGGTCAGCTTTTGTTTCTGAAAGTAACTTAGAATAAACAAGCGTTAGAATAAACAAGCCGTAAGCGCTCTTAGGTCTCTGTGGGTAAGTTTCCATACATCATCTTATTGCAGTGAAACCCAAGCATCAAAGCGAAGTGCAGACAGCAGTGATCTGGCTATGTTTCGAGGTTCTCCTCCAACATTACCAAGCAACCCTCCATAAATTATTCAAGCGCCTCTTTAATATACTGAATCACCATGCATAGGTGTTTTTGCCCTGGTTCAAAATATGCCACGTTAATAGGATTTTGTACTTTGCTAACAGGTAATTTAACTGGATGCTCTTTACCTGAAGGTGCAAGTTAAAAGAAGTTTGAAGTTCATTCCATATTTCATATTTCTCAAAGCAAAGATCTTGCTAAGGCCCATTTGTAATATCAAATGTTAATATTTATTTATTTTCAACTACTGTTGTTTTTAAACCCAAAATCACATGACCCACAGGAGGGATGTCCAATCCTGCTCCTGGAGGGCCAGTATCCTACAGAGAGCTTCAATTCCTGTTGGAGCGAAACTCTACAGGACAGTGCCCCTCAAGCAACAGGTCTGGACACCCCTGACCTACAGTAAAATATTGCTAGACTGAGGAACTGCTACAGTACCTATATGAGCTTAGAGTTTACAAGAATAAATATGTTTTTATTTGCATTAAATTAGGTCAATAAATTTGAGGGATTCTTATATTTTGAGGGAAACTGACTGATCAAAGCACTGTACGACTAGTTGTTCTGTAGTGGTTTGACAGCAGGGAGGTTTTTTGTGCCTGTGTTTTTTCAATGACTGCATGTAGGGGACACCAGTTCATTAGTTGACATGTTTTACAGCATAATATTGTTAGTGGTCATGTTAGTCGAAATGTTCTAAGGGTTAAATAATCAATTAAGCATCAAAAAGCATGCAAAGTGTGTCCAATAGCCATGACAGGCTTAATTATCTTGAACAGCTCATTACTGGATGAGCTACTGTACAACATTTAAATGTTCCCTGTATTTCTAGACTACATATAAATGTACTTTTGAGAGTATGATGTTATTGGAACAATGACTGGTTATTAATAAGGTTGATCAAATAACACTGGACATGTTTTTTTTTCTTTTTTTCTTTCTTTCTTTCTTTTTTTCTTTTTGTATTTTGATCATAATGTGTAGCAAGGAAATATAGAAAATAAAACGTCAAAAACTACTGAAAATGAGAGTTCACAAGAATTAAAAATTATCAGTTGATCATAAGGAGACACCAGACCCAGATTCACTGAGACTCCAATGTCATCAAATGTCATCTAAATCAGAAAGGCAAGTCTTGACTCCTCTAAACCCAGGCGTTTCACACCCACATGTCTTACAAACACTCCATAAGATGTTGCCAAATGCACAGAGGACCTCAACTATGTTTAAAGTACTTCTGACATTTTTTTTTCCCCTTAAGGACAGGTGCGTTTGTTGTGAAAGAGAGATTTGCTTTGCAAAGTTAATTCTTACCTTACAATATTTAAGAAAATGTTATTCTGATCTGTTCTGAATGATACTGCTTGTACTTTTTCCTTCTCAGGCTTCATCGCATCTGCTGCTGTATTTCAAAATAAAGTCCTGGAGACCTTCACTGCAGGCGAAACTATAACTTTAGAGTGCTTGATATCTCAAAGCTATGAAAACTACTTCTCTTGGTTCATGCAATCTCTGGGAGAAGCATAAACCAATCCAGCAGTAACATAATCTACTACTGCGGTCATTTGAAATTGTTGAAGTTGTTTATATGTTGTTGTGCTACAAGCAGGTTTGATGACGCACTAATGTGATAATGAAAGCTGATTGGCTTGAATGGGTAACCCTGACAATGATTGGTTGCTACAACAACAAATTTTATTTGACTACTTTCTGCATTTTTCGGGCCGCATTTTGGGCGAAAGAATAGAATGTATCTATTCTGATTGGTGAGTTCTGAGAGGAGCCCTTATGCTGTCAGCCACATGAAAGAAAAATAAACTAGGCCTATATATTTTTAGTTCCCTTTCATGGGAACGAGACACTGCGTCCTCTAGGTTTCCCCATACCGACCCCTAGAGGACGCAGTGTCTCGTTCCCTACTCAGGGAACCATGGTTACATAAGTAACCTGAGACGTTCCCTTTCATGGGAACTTCGAACTGCGTCCTCTAGGGGTCGCTATGGGGAAACCTAGAGGACGCAGTGTCTCGTTCCCTACTCAGGGAACCATGGTTACATAAGTAACCTGAGACGCTTTATTGTTACATTCCTTTTGAACTAGGCCAACATTTTTGAGGAAACTCAGCCTGGCTGATGCTATAGATTTTGTAGTAAGGCCAGTAAGCTAAAATTAATGCATGAATTAATGCATGTATTACGTGCATAAAAGATGTACTTCTTGTTTAACCTTTTATGTGCCTTGATTTGGCACTTTATACTGTATGTGCTGCAAATAACTAATAAAACGTAGGCTAAGTATCTTAGCTAATCCGTTTGCTGGAACTTAGTGATATGAATGAATAAAAAAGAATGACCTTTATTCAGATACAACAAAGATTTCTGTACTAAAAGCAACCCAATGAATGACAAGTTTAGACCACATGACAGGAAGATGTGGCTAAAGCGGTCAAGTTGCATAATTTGCACAAAGCCTTCAACCCAACACTCAATCTATAATCCTTTCAAGATTGATCTTTTGTCCTGCAGAAAGGCCTGTTGCATGTGTAGTCTTCTACAGATCAGTTAAGATGACTAAATTATCATACATCACATGCATTATACTTAACCTGTGTGAGTATGAACTTAAGATTTTTCTTTAAACCTTAGGCAAATGACTTTCTGACACAAACAATTAATTAAAAATCACTTAGTCAGAGTTATTCCGTGTGTACTGTACATAGTCTAAGGACTGGGATGCTGTTTTTGAAAGTAGTTAAAATTTTATTTTATATTTTTTAATGTTTAGGTGCATTTGCTGTGGGCATTTTATAGCATGTGTCTCAACCAGAGTCAGCAGTGAGAGTTCAGCCTGGACACTCCACAACTCTTCACTGCTTCACTCCAGACAATGGACACTTTAAAGTGTTCTGGTTAAAATTACAAAACAGTTCTGCTCCAGTTCTTGTGGCTTTGGCCGAATCTGACAAAACTGGCATAATGATTGGAGAAAAATTTCAGGATCCCTCAAAGTATAGATTAACATGGAACCAGCTCAGCTTCAGTCTCTCAGTACTGAACATCGAGCAAACAGACATCGCTGTGTACTTCTGTGGGATGATTATTTTTAATAGAATGTGTTTTGGAAATGGAACAAGACTGATGTTTGAAGAGCATTTTAATGATAAGCATTTGATTGGAATGTACCCAGCATATGTACTTTATTTAATGCACCTGAAGTGTGAGAAGAAATACTTTGCGAATAGCCTTAGTTTCATGATTTTGTTACTTTCAGATATTGCATTATACATTGTGACTTATTATAATATGAAATGACTTGCTTTGTTTATAGGA